GGTGACATACAAGTCCGTGTCGCAGCGCCCGTTGGCCATACTGGTGTACTACTGCTACCTTAGTAGACATGTCGTGCCAATCCTAGTCGTCTGCGCGCCAGCAAATGTGTGGACGCCCCTCCTTGAGGTGCGAATGATGTTATCTAGCAGTCCCTTCGTGTCCGAGTCCTCACGCGTCTGGCTCCAAGGCGGCAGTCCGAGCCATGGCACTTCCAACTGAACTCGATGTGAGCTCAGTGATGTGTGCTGAACGTGTTCGTGAACCAAGCCCAGTCACCCCTATATTGCTTTCCATCGAGCACGAAGTGGTGAAGGCGGTGTTGGCGTCTGGACGAGGCGACTACGTATATTCTACACGGCCGTCCGCAATAAAGTTAGTACTAGCTGTGAAGTGAGGCAATATGTCACTGAGTCCACCACGGAACGGAGGCCCAAAGCGAGTCGAATTCCCTACCAAGTTGGTACAAGAAGGTCGGGCGCGCTTCTTGTGGCATGGCATCGGCCACAAATGCGCTCAGGAATGTCAAAGCACCAAGAGAGCCTAGCCCTTCTGTTGATAGCCCTTTACATGAGCAGCTACTACACCGCCTCGGACAACAATAATGCGTCGGCAAGGAGGTCGCTTTTGATGGGCACAAAAAACAAGATCTTGCGGATCACATTATCCGGATCGCGTCCGGAAAAAAAGTCACTTGGCAAGCACTACCATCATCATCCTCCAAGCCGGACACGACACGACGATGGAGGCACGCGCTCGACTGCAAGGAATCTTCACGACGGGGGGCGGCGACGCGAGCAACGACGCGCTGCGCTACAGCGCGCCCAAGGAGCCGACCAAGGCGGGCGCTGCCCCGGCGGCAGCGGCGGCGCCTTCGTCGGGCAGCGAGGCGCCGACCATCATCTTTAGCGCCGCCGTCCAGCTCCACAAGTATGACCTCATCAAGAAGGAGTATGCGGCGAGCTACCCGAACGTGGGCTGCGTCATCCTCGGCAGCAACGCCACGTACTCGGTGCTCTTTTACAAGACGCAGAAGGAGCAGATCTCACTCTCGCCCGTCACGACGACCTTCCGCGCGACGCTCCAAGCCAACGGGTACGTCAACCTGTACGACGCGGTCGGCGACAACTACTCGGCGCGGTTCGCCTCCGAGACTGATGCGCAGTCGTTCATTCGGACGCTCTTCCTCACGAAGATCCACGTCGGCATCTGGGGCCAAGGCCAGTTTGGCGCGATCGCAGCCGACGCGCTCACCAAGGAAGAGCTCTCGGCGATCGATGGCCGCGTGATTGCCGACGGCGACACGGTCGGCGTCGCCTTTAGCGTCTGGCGCATCGTCGGCAACGCTGGCTGCTCGCCACTCGACGTCGTGACCAAGTACCCGCCCTTTGAGAAGGCGGCGTCTACCAACGACATGCGCAAGTTCCGCATTGGCGACAAGGCCGAGCGCATCGCCGCGCTTGAGGAAGGCACCACCGGTATGAAGAAGGGCGGGTCACGCATCTTGCTGGCCCCGCCTGCGAAGACCAACGGGAAGGACTGGTACATTTTGCAGATCGAGGTGCTCAAGATCAAGTCCGAGCGGGGCGACGAAGCGCCGCCGCGCCGTCGGGCAACCACGCCTTCGACGCCTGCGCCTGCAGCCGACCCGACCCCAACACCAACAAGTGCGCCACCAGCGCGGGACCTGGTGCCGTACGCCGATGACGCGTCAGCGGCGCTAGAGACACAGCGCCAAGCCCTCAAGGACATGGAGGCCAAGATTGCAGAGCTCAAGAAAGAGGCGGCGCAGAGCGCAAGCGGTATGCCATCGAATGGGTCTCCGTATGCGATGCCGCCAAGCATGTATGCATCGCCGTACATGCCGCCGCCACCCGCTGGGTACCCGTGGGCCATGGCGCCGCCCGTCGCAACGGGCGGGAAACCCCTCGACCTCATGCTTATGGAGCTGCACACCAAGGTCGATCATTTGATTCGGATTGCGCCGAATGCAAACACGTCGTCGTCGAGTCTTCTCGGCCTCAACGATGCGACGAGCACCCTTCGCGGTGTCGAGCGGCTCGTGGGCGAGAATGACCGGCTCTTGAGCCAGCTCAACCTCCAGAACCAGCAGTTCCAGAGCTACGAGTCCAAGTACGACGAGGCGCAGCGGGCCGTCGCCAAGCTCAGTGCGGAGAAGGTGCAATGGAAGGACCAGCTCGCGTTGCAGCAAGCAGAGGCCGCCAACTTGGCCGCAGCGCGGGACGCGGCGCTCACGCAAGCCAGCCGGTTGCACCAGGAAGTGCAGCAGTTGCGCTACGCGTTCTATCAAAAGCAGCAGTCGACATGTACGTGGTCTAATGCGCCGAGATGCCAGGATGCGAATATGGAAATGGACTGTAGCCGACTCGGAGATGCGCGAACAAGAGCTTACCTTTGAGAAGGACGCGCGCATGCGCGCCGAGACGGCGCTCAAGCACGAGACAATGGCACGCTCGATGCTCGAGCAAGAAGTCGGGCTCCTCAAGAAGCAGACGGCCAACTTGACGTCGCTCCACGAGTCGGAAATCCACTCGCTAAAGCTCAGCCTCGACCGCGCCGTCGCGCAGGCCGCCGAGACCCACAAGCAAGAGATCGACGCGCTCTATGCGTCCTTTGAGGCTGACAAGGTGGCACGATGACCTACCTTGTTAGCATTCTCATAGTACGAATGCAGGCCACGTGGTCGGCCCCGCCAGGGAACGACGACCTCCAAGCCGCGTACGACGAGCTGCGCAGCAACCATGACGCGCTGCAGGCCGACGTGGCCCGGCTCAAGACTGCCAACAGCGCGCACGCAGCCGAAGTCGCCAACCTCGAGGCTGAGAAGAGCCTTCGCATGCAGCGCATCGCTGAACTCGAGGAGCTCCAGACCTTTACGGCCTCGGCGCGCGAGCAGGAAGTGCGCGCACTCACAGACCAGGTACGAGGTCATGGCGCGTGTCCGGTAGCTGCAACACGGGGTGTAGGTGCAAGCGCTCGAGGCGCAGCTGCGCGACTTGCCGGGTGGGCCCCTCCCGGAAGGTGCATGCGCGACGTGCGCTTCAACGGACGCACGATTGGCGGCGGCGGCGGCCAAGGAAGACGCGGCCGCGACAGCCCTGGAGGAAGCCGAGGCGGTGCGCCGGGAAGCCCAAGAGCTGCTGACGTCGTCGGGTCCACCGTCGTCGTCGCAGAACGTCGGCGAGCTCTTCAAGGAGGTCGTGAACGACATCTTCTTCCGGTTCCAGGACGTCTTTGAAGACGAGGTCTCGCTGGACGGCAACCAAGTGCTAAAAGACATCAAGAAGATCCTCAAGCAGAGCACGAAGGAAGTGCTCGCCAAGATGGAGACGTCGGAATAGATACTAACTACAGTCATGTATTGGCCTATATGTCATCTTACGCCGCCGCGTTGAAGGCACGCGTCGCGTCGAGCGGCTCCTGCTTGAGCTGCAGGAAAATCTGCTTCATGCGCGTCACGTCGACGTCTTCCGAGTCCATGTGCTTCTTCTCCTCGGGCTTGTCACCACGGGCGCGGGCCTCGGCGGCCGCGCGCTTCGCATGCTTGGCCTTGATCGACTCAAGCTCGACCAACGTCACGACGCGCTCCCACGGGTTCGGGCTCACCATGTCGGCCTCGAGCTTCTCGACCGCGGCCTGCTCCTGCGTGCGGTTGGCGAGGATCTTGGCCTCGCGGAGGCGCTCGCGCTCGGCCTTGAACTGCTCCATGACCTCGAAGGCCTTGGCGCGGTTCTCTTCCGCGACCTTGGCATGCTCGAGCGCGGTCTCCTGGATCTTGCGCTCATACTCGGCCTGGAACTCGCTACATCACCATGGAGCCATGAGCCATCCCTCTTCCTCGCCCATGGCGGCGACGTACGCGTAGGCGGCGTGGGTCGGGGCAACGTCGAACACGTCCATGCTGTCTTGCTGTGTACTTTCGAGGGGAATCGAGCTTTGCCGGTTCTCCCGCAAGTGACGATTTCGTCCGGATAGTGCGATCTCGATCTCAGTATGGAAATCCGGACGCCGGATATCTCCGCCCACTCCATACAAACTACCATATATTGCTTAAGTGCGCCGATCCTTTGTGCGTATCTTCTCTTTAACCTCAGTGCTCGCGCAAGTGCGATGTAGTAGCACCAACGCCTGCCACGTGCCAAGGCCCATCGCCCCACGCGTCGTCCTCGTACGCTACAGCGTCCGCTAGCTTGTCGCCCATAGCAACAAGTACCCCTTCTATGAGCTACATCTTCGTGAAGTGCATGCACAGGAGCGACAGGGGTGTTGACTTGGAGCGGTCGATGCTAATGCTGCCGAAAGCTGCTGCTGGAAGCGTATCCCTGTTAAGTGCGACGTTGAAGTGACCAGCGGTCCTAAAATTAGCGCGCCCTGGGCGTTGAAGTGCATTTTGGTTCACGACGGCAAAGACATGTAAGCGACGCTGTACTGGGACCAGGAGGCAAGGCAAATGCTTTTCGTAGACCCCGCAAGTCCGAGATGAAGCGCCGTGAAATGGGCTTTGATACAAACACGCACAACCAGAAACTACCCGAGTACAACGCGCTTGCGGACCACAACCTTCGCCACTTTTTTGAAAACCAAAAGCTGCAGAGTCATTTGCACGAAGTGGGCCTCATTGACAAGACGGGGCGCGTCATCGACCCGGACAAGCACAAGGCGAAGCTCTCGATCATTCAGCAAGAGTTCAAGCTCGCGGAAAAAGCAGAGCTCGCCAAGCAGCGCGAGGAAGACGAAATCCGGCGTCGTGTCCAGCTCCGTCGCCACGCCGCCTTGAACGAAGCACGAAAAGAAGAAAAAATCATGAAGCTCAAAGAAGACCGCAAGCTCACGCGCCAGATCGTCCAGGCCGCCAAAGAGTATGCAGTGCCCCATGGCTCCAGCAGCAGCAGCGGCTCCGGCCCGCGCTCGGCCCTCTCCAAGTCGACCTCGTCACCGCTCTCGTCCAAAGCCTCCAACAACGACTCGTTCCGCTCGTAAGCTCGCTACATATACGACGACATTGCATGGAGTGTTTTCCCTGCCAGTTTGTTGCTGGAAACAGAGGGTCAGTTGCTTGCTCCAATCCGGTCGGTGCGGATTCCGGATATCACATCTGTATCCGGAGAAGCGGGCGAACCTGGTGGCGGAGAGATCCCATCTTGCAACCATGTTCCACATGCGCCGTGGAATCGCGCGATCGGCGCGCTTCATGCGACGACACCCGAACGCTTCCAGCACGCTCAAGGCAGACTTCACCAAGCTCGCAGGGCCCGGTCGCCGCATGGCCGCCATGGTCCCGCGTGCCACCTGCGTCCCGCTTCTCGACATCATGGACGCGCTCCGGCGAGATGGCGTCGACCAGATTTCGCTCATGTACCACTCGCTTGTCGACGACGAAGGGCGATAGCGGTCAACGACTCTAAGCTAAGCGAATGCGTCCTCTTGCATGGACATCCAACTTTTGAGCACTCCACGCCCGGTGGTTTGACAGGGGTGGCCCAGCCATGCCACCCGGAGCAAAAACCAACAGCGTCATCAGGGGCGGCATAGTATGTACTGCGTCTACGACCAACGGGGCACGGGTTCATTTCGCCGCCACAACAAGCAGGACAGCTTGAGACCGAGGGCTGAGGCGGACACGGTAGCGATGGTAGCCTTTGCCATCGAAGGCATTCCCATAGAAGCCAAGCAAGCGCAGCGTAGTATAACAAGAGTTATATTGGTTGTGTTTGCTCAAACTAAGTAAGAATCATCCGGTGGGCCCCGTCGCTCGACTGCTACGAGAGCATCCCGAGCGGCGTGGCGCCACCGTACGACGCCTATTAACTTACTCCTGCTGGACGGGGAACTCAAAGACGACTTCCTTGTTGGTCAACTTCTTGTAGACCGTGGCGAACGTGTCGAGCTTGGTCTCAACGTTGACCTGGTCCTTGGGGTCGAGGAAGACCTTGAGGAGCTTCGTGCCGTCGAGCTTGCAGCGCGTGCGCTTGCCGACAATCTCCGTGGGGTAGACGAGGTCCTATAGAGAGAGAGTGGCACCATCAGTATTGGGCATGGGAAGGCGAACCCCCAGAGGCCACCATCGAATTGACAAGAGCGGCGAGTTGTACGTACGTCAAGGATGGCGTCCTGGACCGACGTGAGCGTGCGCGAGCGGGCGCGGGGAGCCGACGTGTGGGCGCTGCGCGAGTGGCCCTTGCCGAGGATCGTGCGCTGGGCAATGATGACGACGTGGCGGCCCGAGAACTTCTTCTCGAGTTCGCGGACGAGGCGCGCCTGGATCTTGTTGAAGCTCTTGAGGAGGCGGAACGGCACGAAGATGACGATGGCCTTGCGGCCGCCGACAACATCGACCTGCTTGGCGGCCGTGATGTAGAGGTCCTTCAAGTCGGCCTTGATGTCGGCCGACGAGTTCTCGAGGGCGGCGAGTTCGTGGGCGACCTGCTTCTCGAAGTCATCGGCGACCTGGCCGGCGGGCTTGACAATCTTAGCAGACGACATGCTTCTTACTTGGTGTTTACTAGAGCAATAATGACCCAAGCGATTTGCTGCCCAAGCCACTTGACTGGCTGCGCGTTCCCCGCCACCGATTGGACGCGACAGGCAATTCGCACTAAGTACGTCCTCCTAAGTCCGTAGGATACGGATAGCATGCTTGTATCCGGACAACATCACTGGGGTTTGCCCCATTTGTCCCAATTCGGTCGGTCCAGAGGCGCTCGAGTGTCGCTCGAGTGTGGATCGTGTGGCTGTCTTTACGACGAGCGCAGTGCAATGGAAACATATTATACATGCATACTAGTAGGTGTCGAAGCTAGAAGCGCCAAAGCCAGATAGAGTACTGCTGGCGGCGGCGAGACGCGGTCCTGCGATGTTGGTCGAGACGCCCTCGGCACGGTACGGTCCTATCGGGACAAGCAGCTGCCTGCAACGACTAGTAGCCTACTAGTTGAGGAATGCCACTGACTAGGATCATCATCGATGCGTTCGCGCTGTCCAACGTGCTGTGGGCAGGAGGCTTCCAGGACGCGCGACTTATTGAGTTGGGTTTTTGGGACAAAGGTCGAGTCGACCAAGGACATGGAAAAATGCACGTGGGTTGACATCAACTTCGCGCGAGACGAAATGCAACCGGTACTGAAGGAGACGCTGCTGTTCCTGCTCGCAGGCGTGCTCGAGATCGGTGGCGGCTACGGCGTATGGGTCTACGCCAAGCAGAGCGAGAGGGCGTCCGCCATGTACATCGCGTACGCCGTCCTCGGGTCGATCGCGCTCGTCGCGTACGGCTGGGCCCAGACGCTGCAGTCGATCGACTTTGGGCGCCTCTACGCTGTCTACGGCGGGTATTTTATTTTACTAAGTCTTCTCTGGGGCTGGGCCGTCGCTGGCGTCAAACCCGACGTCGGCGACTGGGTCGGCGCGTCCATCGCCTTTGCCGGCGTCCTCATCATGCTCTACTGGCCTCGGTCCTAAATCGATAACGAACTCGACACAAGCTCCTTTTATTCGCGTGGAGTCGATCCGTGGCAGCTACGGATAGTACGTTTGGCGAAGCAGCGGGTAGCTACGCGCGGGAACGAGGACGAGCGTCGGGAGTGGCGTCGCCGTTGTTTCGGGTGTCAGGATGCCGTACAAGACAGCCGTCACGAGCAGCACTATTAGACGGGGTATGAGCGAGGGAATCATCCGAGTGTCCTTCGAGTAGTCGTACCGATGAAGAGCGCAATCAGGCATGGGAGGATCTTCTGGAGGCGCACATAGCACTGGTACGAGCGATCCGTGTGCACTTTGGCGGTCGCGACCTGGAGCGGCGGCAGCCCCGCTTCTTGGTGGAGGCAGGCGGTCATTTCAATTATGCTCGTTAAAACAACCTACGCGCGCGCGTCGTTTTCTGCTGCCCCTTCTCTTCGCGTCCGCTTTCTCCGAGTCGAGTTCCATCACGACGTCGACGTCGACGACGGTGGCACGCGCGCACTGGGCCGTACGTACGGCAGCCCTTTTCGGCCATAGCACGACAGGAATCGAAAGCTCTCGCGGATATGGTGGGCCTTGCGGACGTTCATATGAATGGCGTCGCAGCAGTCGTCGCACTCGTACTCGTCGCACGCGACGCAGAGCACGGTGGCGAGAATGCCTTTCCCGCACGCCTCGCACGCCTACGACATGTACGTTGAGATGGTCGTCGACTCGATATCCTCTAAAAGCACCGTCGGGCGCGGTGCCATGTACGTAGCTTTGTTGATGCGGATGCGCTGCGGCAACACGGCGGCGATGCGCTCGTCTTTGGCGGCCTTGGCCTCCGCGGCCGCCGTCGCGGCCGCCACCTCGTCCGGCGTCAAGACGTGCGGGTCCAGTGGGTGCTCCCACCGCGTCTCGCGCGTCACTTGGTTCCAGTAGTAGGTGGTGTACGGCGGCGTCTCGAGCACGAGCTGGACCCAGTTGCCCCTTTGCGCAGGCGCCTCGTCGGCCGAGCCGTCGCCCGCGCGCGCAAAGATGGTGGCCAGCATCGCCTTGTAGTCGACGTCGTTGGGAAAGAGCGAGCACGCGCGCTTGACGAGCTGCGTCGTGCCAGCCGCAAAGAAGCGCTGGGCGAAGAGCCACGTGCGCGCTTTTCGGCCAGCGGATGCCAATCGGCGTGGTACTCGAGCAGCGTACTCATGCAATGCACGAGGACGAGGACAGTGCACCACACGGCATTGCTCTCGACGTGCCCAAGCTCAAAGCTCGGCAACGGCAGCGACAGAAAACCGGCCAGCGGCGGCGACGGCTCCCAAAAGCCGTCGCGTCGCAGCGCGCCGTGGAGGTACTCGATGCACTTTTCTGCATCCCGCGCCGCGAGCACCGCGCCCGACACGTTCTCCGAGACCATCGCCGCGACTCTCGGGGCGTCTGCATGCTGGCCCTTCTTCGCCTTTGTCTTCTTGTGCAAGCCGCGGACCGGTGGCATCGGCGGTTGTCTCGGCGTTTCGGAGCAGGAGCCCCAACCCTAGTAGCTCACAACCCTAGACCTCGTCATCGCTGCAGTCACGGCTGCGACGTCATCATTGACATCATTGACAGCACGCATGGAAGTGTCAAGTTGATACACTCCCTTGTCCGTTGATTGAACATCAAAATGGTTGGAACAATAATAAGATAGATTTAAAACAACACACAAACGACAATTTTGTGTCTTTTGCGCGCTGTGCGAATCGCGCTCTCGTCCATCCTCATCGTCACCACCATCTTTCTCAAGGTGTTTAGACCGTCTTGGGGAGGGGCGGGCGCGCTCAATGACATCCAAGCGGTCCTGGCCGACGCCGATCCACTTGATGTGCGTGCCAAGGAGCTCCTCGACACGAAGCACGTACTTCTGCGCGTTCAACGGCAGCTCCTCAAACGTGCGGCACTTGGAGATGTCCTCGGACCAGCCGGGAAGCGTCTCGTACTGCACCGTCGACTCTTCGAGCGGCTGGAGGTTCGAGGGCATGCCCGCGAGCTTCTTGCCGTTGTGCCAGTAGGCGACACCGATCTTGACTTCCTTGAGACCCGTGAGCACGTCGAGCTTCGTGAGGTTGATCTCGGTGAAGCCGTTGACGAGGTTCGAGTACTTCATCTGGGGAATGTCGAGCCAGCCGCAGCGGCGCGGGCGACCGGTCGTCGTGCCAAACTCGGCGCCGACCGTGCCGAGGTGCGCGCCAACATCGTCGTGGAGCTCGGTCGGGAACGGACCCTCGCCGACGCGCGTGCAGTAGGCCTTGACGATACCGATGATACCGTTGATACGGTTGGGCGAGATACCACCGCCCGTGCAGATCGAGCCGATCGACGGGTTGGACGACGTCACATACGGGTACGTGCCAAAGTCGATGTCGAGCATGGTCGCGTTGGCGCCTTCGACAAGGATCTTCTTGCCCGAGACATAGGCCTTGTTGAGGTACTCGACCGAGTCGATCGTAATCGGGAGGATCTGCTCCTTGAGGACGCGATAGCGCTCAATCTCGGCTTCCACATCCAAGTCGAGGTCCGGGTAGTTCTCCTTGTAAAAGGTAACTGCGCGCGCATCTTGTCGGCAAAGTCGTCAAAGTAGCGGAGGTCGCCGACGCGGACGCCGTTGCGGAGCATCTTGCTAGAGTACGCCGGACCGATGCCCTTCTTGGTCGTGCCAATCTTGTTGCGGCCACGGCGGTTCTCCATGAGGCCGTCGATTTCCTGGTGCAAGTCGAGCACCATGTGCGCGCGGTCCGAGATGAGGACGCGACCGTCGCAGTCGACGCCAGCCTCCTTGAGCATCTCGAGCTCCTTGAGGAGCGCCGGGAGGTGCACGACAACGCCGTTGCCAATGACGCAGACCGCCTTGTCGTTCAAGACACCGCTCGGCACCAAGTGGAACTTGTACTTCTTGCCGTTGCAGACAATCGTGTGGCCAGCGTTGGCACCGCCGGCGACACGCGCAATCACGTCGTACTCTTGCGAGAGCATGTCGACGAGCTTACCCTTGCCTTCATCGCCCCACTGCGCACCGAGGACGACATCGACGCCCGGGCCATCGCGCTTGGGGTTGGCGACCGCGCTCTCGATGCGGTTGAGCTTCGAGAGCACTTCGCGGAGCATGCCACGCGTCGTGTCACGGAGCGGGACTTCGTTCGCCATGAGGGGCGTCGGGCCCATGTTCATGGCGGCGAACATGACGCCGG